TTTAAGAGTATTACCTACATTCTACAATATCAATATATCGTATCATATCATATCATATCATATCATATCATATCATATCATATCATATCATATCATATCATATCTCACATCATGTAATATCCTATCTATCTATCTATCTATCTATCTATCTATCTATCCCCAAAAATAATTTTCTCACATACATCACATTGCACATATTGATAAGGGTTACAGACATTAGTCATGGTTATGAAAAACAGTTCCAGTCCATATCAAATAGGGAATCTCTGCTCCTACCTTCTTAGCCACCTCTAGACATGATCTGGAGACTATATTAACACAGAAAGCCTCTACATATAACTCTGTTTAGTAACAGAAAATACCTGGAAGATTTTTTTTCCCTCATGTGATCTCCTTACAGTTCCTCAGGGATACGGCAACTGATGTAAAAATTTCCTTCATGCCAATTAATAATTCATGAACAGGTGTTTTAAAGGAACAAATTTCAAATAATGGAAATGGGTCATCTGAAGAAAATTGATGGTCAAGTGGAGAAATATGGATTGGTGATTGGGATGGAAAGACTAATTAGTAGCTTTTGCTCTCAGAGGTAACTGTGGGACAATCAACCTTTCAGGTATGACTTAGTGAGGAAGGAAGGAAGGAAGGAAGGAAGGAAGGAAGGAAGGAAGGAAGGAAGGAAGTAAGTTATAGAAGTTATAGAGAACTTGGAATAGAGAGGTGCATAGCAGAAGAATGAGATTAATATATTTTCTTAGAGAAATAACCCTAACCCTAACCCTAACCTCAGTTGATCTCAGAAAATGTTTACCTATGTTTGCTGTAAAAATCTCTTTTTGTTCCCAAAAATAAATACGAAGTTCTTCACGAAAGTTCTTAAAACAAAAAAACAAAAGAAAACAAAAAAAGAAAGAATCAAACTTTGGAAAATGAAATAAATTGAAACCTTTCTTAGTGAATTTCTATAGTATTAACCTTCCTTCTATCAGTACTGGAAGTGAAAATATGGAATTTATATATGATGTCCCTAAGTGACACTTTCCAGAAAAGGGAAGATGACAGACCCAGGACAAAAAGTGAATCTTATTTATTTCATCCAATCAGCTAACATGACATGATTGTTTCCACTATACTTTATAATTCCTCCCTTCATCAAGTTCAGCT